TGCCTGTTCTGCTCCCCACTCTGTCTCTGGTGAATTCTCTCACCCTCCGCATCTCTTGCCTGTACCCCAGTTCTGTATGGATAAATAAATAAATCTTTAAAAATAATAATAATAATAATAATATGGGTTCCTCCCTGGTGACGTAACAGGTTAAAGCACAGCACTATGAAACTGTTCATAGCCACTGCAGCACGAGTTCAATCCCCCGCCAGGGAACTGACCCACATTGCACAAGAGACCTCTCCTTCCCCCGCCCCCTTCTCCCCTCAGCAGTGTATTTCAGTACATCTGCCTGTTCTGCTGCCCATTCTGTCCCTGGTGAATTCTCTCTCACACACACACATACATACAGACATTCACACCCCTCTGGTCTGTATCCCAGCTCTTGTATGCATAGATAAATAAAACTTTAAAAAATATTGATTATATGATTACTCTCTGAGAGATCAGAAATGCTGAGTAACAGGTGACATGTAAAGATACTATTTAGGTACTAGAATGAAGACTTACCAATACGCTTTTTTTCTTAATCTTCAACAGACTGGCATTTAGAGCCTGGCATTCCTTTTCACTCATTTTCCATGTTTTATACTCACGTCTTAGTAAGTAACAGCTGTCTTCATGCCACAACCACTTCCTTGGGCACGGTTTACAGTTGTGTTCTGAGAGAGGAAGAAACAGTTTTATTTGGTTTGCACTGATAATCTTCCTTATTCTCATTTCCCTTGTTAGCCTCTATATTAAATTAGCCAAATTTACTTGCATTTCTTTTTTTTAATACCGGTGTGAAGAAAGTGAATCTTGTGTTCTAGGTTCCTATATAGCAGTACTGTGTGTTGAAAATATTGCTGGACAACACATTTGAGATGTAACACTTAATTTGTTACGTCAGGAGCCCTGAATAATGATCAACTAACTTCCTTCTCTCACTTAGTAATGTTTTATATTCCTACTTGGCAGTAAAAGTTAATCCCAAGAAACACTGTCTGCTCAGAATCAACCCTACAAACCTCCATCGATTCTACTTCTCTAAAACATTCCTAGCTCTCTGATTTGTTGAATATTGGGGAGATTTTTCAAGAGCACAAAGAGTGTATATTCATTATAAGAGTAACAGAAGCTGTTAAAGAAATTAAAACACCTTCTCCTTATATTCATGGGGCAAAGTCTAGTTTTGTTTCTTTTATAATAACACTCATCAAACTGACTGAAATTTAGGGATGAGGTCACCATAAAGAAGTGTGCTTTTTCTCCTTACTTTCTATTCACATCAGTGTCCCGAATAAAAGTAATATATGTCAGATTGGAGAAACTGTATACTATCTAACACTTTATTAAGTAGGTATCATCTCCAGATAATGTGAGATCTACAGTCATAATTATCATTTTCTGTTTTTTCTTCTAATTGCATGAAAATATCAATGCATCCTGTCAGCCACATTTAATTCCTTCCCCCGGATAATGGCTTCTAAGGAAAAACTATGAGGTATCACTGAAATGATTCTCTAGCAACTCTTAAGTTTAGTCCATCTAATTCAGAGAGGAATATAAGATTACCTATTTTTTTGGTATATAGTTGATAGCATAATTTGGTAGCCATTTCTTGCAGCATGTTAGAGAGGTTCTTGATCTTCACAGAACTATTCATGTTCTGTATCAGTTGTAGAGAAAGATTGCTCTGAAGTTCTTCTTTGAAACTCTGTAGTTTGTCCAGTTTTTCCATTTGCATGTTGAAATTTATATAAACTCCATAGCAAACAAGACAGAAGATTAAGCATTTTATTCCCTCAAACAACCACCACTTCCTTTTTGCTGAAATCATACTAAAATATTAAAGATATAGGGGTGCGGTCACTTTATAGGAATCAGGGAGAGAGATTAAGTGCAGAATTGCCAGTGTGTTCTGTGGGCCTATGGCCTCTAATCACTCCAAAGCCTTAACTTCAAGAGGAAAGTTTGGTTGCAAAACTCATGTGATTCTATGCATGTCCCCACCCAGTCAAAATATGGGAAATACATACACATGCTTGCTAAAATTGCCAGTCCCACTAACAGCAGAAAACAGACCAGAGCCAGAACCAACGCACTGCACTGCCAGATGCGGGAAGTGTTGGCGGGCGCTGCGGGAGACAAAGTGAGCGGAGAGAAGGGGTGAAGTGGGGTGCATCTTCATTTGAGTCACTCATTCATTTTGCTTTTACTTCATAACTGACATGTCCCTACAGTGAAAGAATGCTTTTGTTAGAAACTCAAGGACATGCTCAAAAATCTTATTTCATTTGCCATTTAGCATCTGAGATGGCTTTCACAAGAGGGGCTGTTCACTGGTATGCTGATTCAAGAAACAAAAAGGCAGACATGGAATTTTTAAAGGGATCAGTGAGAAAACCAATCCATCTAGATATCTGGTCCATACAAATTTGAGGAAATTGAGCAGCTGGCAGCTAACAGGGATTCAGGCCTTGAGCAGACAATGATGGAGTCTTGAAAAATAGTATCAGTTACGTATTTTTCCCCCAGGAAATTCTGAGAGTTCTGGGGCTGTCTCCTCACAGTTGGTGATGTGGTAATGTTGGGAAGTACAGAAGCCATTGCCCGTGAAAAAACTTTTTTAGACCTTGAAAAGTAAAGAGGGGAAGAACTATATAGTAAGGACCTTATCTAAGATTAGATGTATGACTTCAAATTCTTTCTTGATAACTTTTCTCATTTATTTATGTATTTAACTCTCAGAAGTTACAGGGTACTTTCCTTCCAGAGTGCCTTTATTATGGAGAACTTCTGGGTACTAAGAACATAGTGAACAGGAAACATAATTACAAATCTTATAGAATATAAATTTTAACTATAAGAAAAAATAAGCTAGATTAGTAGGGTGGTGGATGAATGGGTTGATGGATGGATACATAAGTAGATGATAGATAGTAGGAAAATAGATCATGAGGTAGATAGAGAGATAGACAGACAGATAGATAGATAGATTTCAACTTGAGCTGTGGCATGGAAACTCCTGAAGTTATACTGTTATATTCCAGAGCACAAGCAGTTCAGACCTACGACCAGAGGAATTAGCATGCAAAATCAGGGGTGAGAACATCACAAGCAGTAAGTCTAACTCGCAAGCCCTAACTAGGGTTCTATTTGAAAACAGGACACATTCAGAGTGGCAATGAAATTCTGACCAAGGTGAGAAAAGATATTGGAGAAGATCAAAGAAAAAGACAGGAAATAGTATTTGTGGCCTTTTTTAGCCAGACTTAGGAGACTGGGGGTTATTTAACTACAGGAAGGGTTTTGTTTGTTTGTTTGTTTTTTTAAATCAGGAGGGAGAAATAATATGATATTTTTCTAAAGATTATTGTTATAGAATACAGAGGATGAACTTTAGTATTGTAAATATATGCAGAATATAGAGGATGAACTGTAGTAGTAAAAACAGGGGAAATAGAGAGGGAAATAGCAGACCAGCAAAGGAAAATAGTAGCTAGACTTATTACTATCAGAGAGTGTGATGATTCACTGAATATATCATGAATACGTTTTGAAGTTAGAATCTGTAGAACACATTTATGAAGTCTATGAGAGATTTTTGACTTGATAAAGTTGTTAGGTAATAATAAGGTCAGCTTATTTATGGAGAGCACAGCAGTGACCCTCCCCCCCCAAAAAAAAAACACATAGAACATTCTTTAGGGCTAAAATATCTGGTCTTAAATGGCTGGTTCTGCTTCTTATCCCTTGTGGAGCCTAAGATAAGTTGTTGAAATTCTCTCAGTCTTGGTTTCCACATTAGTTAAAAAAGAGAAACCCACAAAGTACAAGAAACTATGTGGTTTAAAATCTGTAATGTGGGACAGAGCTGACATTTGCTGATTGTATTTAAGTATGTATTTACATTTGTATTAATGATATGAAGATGACTGGGAAGAAGGAACAAGAGGAAAAATATTTGTTTACCATTTTAAGATTAAGATTTAATTTATAATTAAAGATTTTTATAATTTAATATCTACATGGAAATGTAAAACAGGCATTTGATTTTCTAGTCTGGAAATGCAGGGACAGATCATCAGGGAAGAGCTAGAAGTCACCATATTGAAATCCAAAGGAATGAATGAGGTAACTTCACTAAGTATCTTTAGTGTTGCAAAAGAGAGGACCCAGAAAAAAGACTTGGAATATTCCATAAAACAGAGTTTGGGCCCTCCCTGGTGGCACATTGGGTTAAAGCACAGCACTAAGAAGCTAAAGCCACTTCAGCATGAGTTTGATCCCCAGCCCTGGAGGTGACCACATGGCGTGGCAGACCTCTTCTGACCCGCTCACAGCTCCCATCAGCCATGTACTTTGTCAGTCAGCCTGTTCTGCTCCCCATTCTGTCTCTGGTGAATCCTCTCACCACCCTTGCACCTCTGGCCTGTACCTCAATTCTGTAAGCATAAATAAATAAATCTTTAAAAAAAAAAAAAACAGAATTTGACCCAGGGAGGAAAGTCAAAAAAGAAAGCTGAGAGGGAGTGCTAAGTGATGGTGCAAACCAGGAACATGGATGTGTCCTTGAGACTGTGCAAAGAAAAGTGTAAAGGAAGAGGAAGTTCAACTGTGTGAGTGTTGCAAATAATATTATTACAAATAATAAAGGAGCACAGATATGACTCGGGGTGGGGAGGCCATCAGTGGCCTAGAACCATAGTCTTCATGGAACAATGAGGGCAGAAGCCTCATGTGGTCAGTTGAGAAGAGAAGGAGATCTGAAGACTAGGGGTCCATGACCAATAGAAATGCTTCCTGGAAAGCTAGGCTGTGAAAGAAAACAGAGACATGGAAGATAAATGGATTTCATTGGGCATGTAGGGAATGTGATTTGTTCAAATAAAAGTAATAGAGTATATTGGTGAGAGGATCATGAAGCAGGAGAGAAAAGGGAATCCTATACAAGAAATGTCTTTGATTTTTAATTGAAATTCAAAGAAAAATGAAATTTGGCTTTTGATAAGGGTGTTTCCTAATTACTTTCTAGAAGTAAAACAGGGGACGTGAGGAGGAATATGGCAGGATGAAGGAAGAATATGGCAGGATGATGATGTTAGTAGTAGAGAGAGAAGGAGTAGAATGACTTAGGAAACGAGTCCATCAGGCTTTCTTAGGGTCTTTAAGCTACAGGTTCTTACATACTTCAGTGTTCTTTTCACTGAATTTATACAGTGCTTCTCACAGACCATAAGATCTCACCTTCCTGCTTTCTAGACTATAACTCAGCTTTAAATCTTCACATACCATACACAATTGGAGATCTGTCTGTCTATCTGTCAGTCTATCTGTCTCTATCAATCTATCTCCAAGCATTTATTTTCTCTCACACTTAAAATATATCCTCTATAAAAGCAGGTACTTTCTTTGACTATAAAGAAAGTCCTCAGATTAATAACTGAATGTAAAAGTAAATAAGAAAATGAATATTAAGAAAGACAACAACTGACATCATACTTCTAACCGCTTCCCCTTTTTACTAATTTCCAAAGTCTAAAAACATTATTTGGTACTGACTGGCAGGGCTCTCTGTACTTCATTACCAACTGCTAGATAAAGCATAGTTCAGACAGAAGTTGGGTAAACTGGACTTGAAAGTTTGTGTAACTTTCACCAGCAATGTTCAGCTATTTATGTAGGCTATGAGTAAGTAAATATTTGGATTTAACCAGAATTGGAGTTTTTCAAGGAAAAATGACAGCACATTAAACAAGGCGGCAAGAAATGGATGTTATTACACAATATATTATATTACCTTCTATAGACTTTAAGCTGCATAATGAAAAAATCAGATAAAATTGAGAAAATAAATGAGACATGGATTCAAGACTACCATAGAATCAGAAAATTCTGAAGTGGAGATTTAGAATATGATCAGTTAGTGGAAGAGGAGAGAGGAAAGAATGTAAGGAGTTAAAAAGAGTAATTGTCGGTACATAAAAATTATGGTACACACCTCTTCTTGTTCCACACAAAAAGGAGAGATAAGAAGGAAAATAAAATAGACAATATTGAACTATCCTTAAAAACCTATATTAAAAGGAAAGAAGTGAGCTTAAAGATTTCCAATGCTGATGATAAAATAAATCTGTAATCTAATGGTAAAATTTCTGTTCACAAGAAAATTAGAATTTAAAAAAATGTTTCATTTTAGTTGGGAGACACAAATAATGAATAAGGATTCTTTTGTTACTCTCTGTCCTAATTATACCAGCTCTGCTAAATTTCTGTGTTTTCCATATCTACTGTTTAAGTGATATTTAATTTAAACACACTGATGAATGTGTTAGGGTAGGCTGCATCTAAAATCCAGGAGCCAGGAGATAAGAATAATATGGGATTATGAATAGAATGGAGATTAAGTATAACCTCAAAGTCTACCCAGCTGGTCCATTTATATTCTAATTCAAATTTGTATTGAAAACTACAAAGTTTTCCCATGCAGCATGGTTTTCTGTTACTTTAGTTCTGATGTGTCTTTTTATTTAACTTAGCCTTCTCTGTATTTTAGTAAGTTGAGAGAAGATCACCCAAAAAGGTAGAAGAAATACTTGAATTGGTATAAAGTCAAATGACATTCTTTAAATTTTCCTCTTTCTTTTTGTCATTTCTTCTCTTTTACATACATACATACATGCTAGCATTTTCTTATGCAAACACAACATGTGAAGACATTGATTTCCTAAGTAGTATATATTCCTTGTCCCTACATCATTTCATGGAGGAAAAAAATGCACAATTTGGTTTTGTGAAAAAAAATCTTGAGTGAAATAGAAAATTTATGAAAAATTATTTGTTCAAACAAATTAGGCCTTTAAATTTTTATATACCATAAACATGCTTATGGACACAATTAATAGGTTTAGTACAAATATAAGGCTTAATTAGAAACTAAATTTAAATAATCATTGTTAATTCACTCCTTCAAAGGGGGTAAATTTCTATTTTCTACACATTAGTTTTACCTCATTACAAAACATCTATAACTCAAAAATCTTACCTTTTATTCCAGATTTGCCAAACTCTTGGGCATTTTCTGTTTTACTGGAGTCCTGGAATTTTAGATCTGTATATATAACTTCTTCAGACATTGATGGCATACAAAAAGAGCTTGGCAAACAATTAAAAAAAAACCTTCAAAAATAAACAAACAAAAACACCCATAGAGCTAAATGTTAAGCAGTAACTATGATTCTAAATTTGTGTTTTTAAAACAAAGTTTAAATTTAATGTTTTTGAACCCAAAGTACTACCTGCACATAAGCTGCAAGCCGTTGTGTCATAGAAGAATAGCTTGTAAGAACTAACACATTCATATTGCTAACTTCCTCTTATCTGTTCCTTTTCTACATTTCTGTAAATCTCCCAACTACCGACAGTACCTTTTAAAATGGTGTTTGAATGTTATTCATGTTGTGCAAGGGCATCACAAGTTCTCCTGACCAGGAACATGTTTCCTGAGTGTCCTCACAGCACTGTCAGATGAGCTTGACCAGATGAGCTTGACGTAGCAGGGAGACTGCCCATGTCCAGAGAGCAGTGCAGACAGAAAGAGTGGGAGCCCCACCCTGTCCCCAAGTTCCAGAGGTGCCAAATCAGTCCAAGAAGAACTAAGGAATGCTTCGCTTCTCTGTCACAAAGAAATATACTAAGGAATCTGGGACCCGAGTAACACATAGACTGATGACAAAGACCCTACAAATAACTACAGGTCAGCAAAGGGGCGGTCAGTCTTGTTTCTCTGCTAACTGGCTCAGTTCAGTGAACAAGCTCTCAACTAATCTACCAAAAGGGGGAAGATGAGTCTAGAGGGCCTTTTAGATTAGTGTCTTTTGATTCCATAAGTTGGGGCAGGGTTCTATACATTTCTTGATCAAGGATGCAGAGTAGGTGAGAGTTGGGCAATGATTGTTTTCCAGTTATTTCAGGTGTGTATCATTGCAGATCAACATGTGCAGCAATGATATCTCATTGCTATTTTTTTTTTGTCATCCCCTCGTAATAAGAGATTATGAACATCTCATCATGTACACTTGGAGTTTAAAATATTGCTGTGTTCAATAACGACCAAGGCCCGTGTCTGATGCAAAAGCAAATGAGACTTTATTAGGCCAGCTCGAGCCAGGATCCTTCCTTTACGTGCCCTGACACAGCAGGCGCACCCCTCAAGGAAGGATCCTGAAGATCTACAGAGTGGGGTTTATAAGGGCAGTTAGCAGGGCTGGGGATTTTACACTGAGTACGTCCATTGATGGTAGGTGCCCAAATGTTAGGGATACAGCAGGCGCTGGAAACTTAATCTTGGTCAAGCAGGAATCTAGGCTTATCGCTGGGAACCTACCCAGCCAGCACCTTCCGGGAACAATGGCTCTGGAGGGGGCCAGCTGTCTAGTGAGAACTTACTTTTCACAATGTTCCCAACACTGAGTTCACCACTAATATTTCTATTCTCTCCTCAAACAGTTGTCTGCTTTGTCTTCACTTACCTGTGCCTTCTCTCTTCCCCTTCTATTAGCCACTAATTATAGCCCAAATCTTGTTTTTGTTGTATTTAGTTCATCTGTTTCTCTATACACTACATATTAGTGAAATCATAAAGATGTTTGTCATTGTCTGGTTTATTTCATTAAGTATAATATCCTCTAGGCTCATCCACGGTATTCCAAAGGGCAGAATTTCAACTTTCCAAGGCTAAACAGTATTCCATTTTTGTATACAGATGTCACATTTTCTATATCCATGCATCAGATGATATCTACTTAAATTGTTCCCAGTTCTTGGCTATTGTAAATTATGCTGCAATAAACATGGTGGGATGGATATAGTGTTTGAATTATTGTTTTCTCTTTGGGAGCTAAACACCCAGACTAGGAATAGACTTCCTCTTAAATGAGGGTATGGTTGAATATAAAGGCTGAAAACATTAACATTTTAGGAGTATACATACACATAGGTGAATTTAGTATTATCAGTTGGTATTCTGCTATTTAGCCTTTTTTGAACATTAGGAAGACTCAATATTTTATTAAATGTCACAGACATATATAAAAATAACAGAGATTATCAATACTCTTTTACAAGGGTTTTTTGTTTTTATGTTTTTTTCTGGTAACTAGGTAAATTATATGCAGCAAGCCTTGACTAATTTTAGCATCTCCTAACTTTTGCCTTCTCAGTTGTTTTGTGACTTTTGTTCCATTTTTGGAATTACCCTATAATAGGAAGCTTCATCTGACACAAGCCACAGATTGATGGTGTCTAGCCAGAACTAGATGGTGTCCTTATTGCTCATGGTATAAAACCTACTAAGCACTTATAGAAGAATTAATGGTTAAATAATACATTTCACTAAGTCTCCTAGAACCACACTGATGAAAAGAAACCATTACAGATCAGAAGCAATAGTGGTTTCTCACCTTTCCCCTCACCCACACACTCTGGGGCACTGCACAGCAATGGGTGCAGGGGAGGGGGAGAGGAGGAGGGTCAAGAAGCATTGTAACATGGGAAAACATGCTTCCCCACACCACCCCATCTGCTGCTTTAGTCTTTTTCTCCACAGAAACCACCAGCCTCACTCCTTCTGTCTGTAATTGTAGGACAGAACTTACTTATCACCTTTGCCCCCATAAACTTTAACATGTCTGCCTATGACTACCGCCAGCTACATTGAACTCTTATAAGAGCCAAATCTGAAGCAAATCAGTATTGAATGAGTTAATTCTCACCTCTCCTAATCTTGTCTCTAAATGGGTAATCCACTTCAGATGTGCAAATACTTCAGCCTGTAAGGGCTACCAGGTTGGAGTGTTGCAACAGATAGTTTCAAAACAACAGTTGCTCGTTCGTATTCATGCAGTAAAACCTGGAAAAAGTATACCGCCCTGCTTTTACAGAGTGAAGCTAAATAGCCACAAATTGATAGCTTTTCTTAAACCCGTCATAGACAAGGACCAGGCAAAGACAGTGCACTGTATTGCAATCTAAGATAAGAGGCATGCCAAGGAGAGACAGGGTAGGAAATCTTGCTTTCTGGGAGTAATAACTCAACTCACATATGTTATAAATTATTCAGCTCATATTTTTAACAAGTTGCTAAAGGCAGAATGTGAGTGGGGGTGGGGGAACATGAGAGCAGAGAACCCCTGAGAGCTGCAGGCACAGACTTATGTCAGACCCACTTGAAGGCACTTCATAGGCCATATCCAGTGTGAATCTGCTACAGGTCAGGAAAAGGGGAACCACTGAACCCCCAAACCTGCCTGCTCGCAATAGGTTCTGCTATCCGCCACATCAAGACAAACTATGTAAGACTTTAACGAAAAGGGACTTTAGTACAGGGAGTATACATTACAGAAGACAAAGAATATATTTTCTAAATCAAACACCTGAAGTTACCCATCCCCTCGTGGGTAAAAGTCAACCTAAAAGGGATTGGCCCAGAACAGGCTTGAAAGCCCGCCACAAGCCTAAAGCACCTTCTGGCTGGGACCCATAGACAAGGTGAGAAATGACCAGACACGTCTGGGAGGAAAAGTACAAAATCAAAATCAATATAAACACTGCTGTAGTCAATCTCCCCACGGGTCTCTTACCCACTTCTCTTTCAACCAGTCCAGGGCCAAGAAACAAGCAGATTTCGTCACATGTTTCTCTATTCCATGTATCTTCCTCAGGCTTCCTTCTGGCTCTCCATCCTGCTTCCTTCTTAAAATTCCTTTTCTTCTCTTCTTTTCACTGCTCAGCTCCACCTTCTTTCTGGGTGGGGCAGGGAACCTGGAACTTACCCTTTTCCTGAGGACCACCTTGTTACAATCTCCCCCTTTTGATTTTAAATACCACCGTATCTATGGTGCACAGATTTTAGGGTGCGGTCAGTCACCAAGAAGGTCCCCCTTTTTCTGGGGACCACCCTGTTACAGAACAATTGAGAGCAGGTTAGGAGGCTCGAGAGAGAGTGACCATTTTGTTGCATGCCGGGAAGAGATGACACAGAAGTCGTGGGGAAAAAAACACACCTAGAAATATCCCCTTTCTAGAGCAAAAGCTTTAAGTCACTGGGGGTGGGAAGGAAGCTAGCAGCAAATGCTCCCTCTCAGACCATAGGTGCGGACTCCTTGCTGCTGAAAGGAACAGAAAGTTCTCTGTAGTCTTGGAGAAAAACAGGATAACATCCGGACCTTTAGATACCGTTTCTTGTAGTCCTCAGCTAAATAAAGCTATTGTTACGCAAAGTGGGATCTGGCTTGAAGACACACACATCGTCCTCAAGAAGTGAATGTCTCAATTCTCCAAGCCCATCTGTGTTTCTTTCACTTCCCAAATACATTGCAGAACCTAAAGAGAAGCAGGCGGCCATTTCATTAAAAAAAAAAATCACCAGGAACGTCCTGGTGGCGCTCAGTCACTTAAAAGTATTAATTGGCCACCTAAATATTTGATAAATGCTATGAAAAGGCATGGGATAATATGAATATGGGTTCTGTGGTAGAATGAATGGATATAGATTTTTGAGGAAATGAAAAAAGTGGCTGTGATGAAGAAGAAAAATTGGAGAAGTTGCAGAGAGAGCACAAAAAAATTCTCGCATCAATGGAATCCTCATAGCTCATGCATGACATTCCAATGCAAATGATAATGTTAGAGTCCAAGAAATGCTGAGTCACCAAACCAATGCAAAAGACAAGTACAAGCCTTTATGGCTATCCTGGGCTGGGGTCCGATTCCCGGAGTGTACTAACGCAGCCGTCTCGCCCAGACAGGATGGACTCCGAGCCTCTGAACAGCGGGTCTTATACAGTGAAATTCGTGGCAGGGAAATTTCCAAAGTATGAGTCCATTGGGATGAGTCACTCTCATAGCCTCCTTTGTGCAGGTGGTAACTGCAGGTAATGTCCTGCTAGCGCCTGGGCTTCTGATAACATCCAGGGCCTCATTCCAATATTTTAACAATAAATGTTGGAAGACTATCCAAAAATAGAATGAAAGTTTGAAGGCAGCATAGAAAAGACTGCCGCTCCACCTTCCAAGTTTCCACTGGAAACCTCTACAAAGATCTCTAGTTAAGAGCTTTTTTGTTTTGTTTTGTTTTTTTCTGAAGGAAGCACCTGAATTCTCCATGTATGTAATGTTTTAAATTACAGTGCTCTGAAAAAAAGAATTGGTTTTACTGTTACTTTATTCCCACTATTTTTAAGGAAAAGAAAGCATTCAATGCATTGACCAAAAATTAATTGATAGATTGATTAAAGCACAGTAACATTCTTCATTTTCCCCTTTGATTATAAAAATAATTTTGCACAATTTCCATTTGTGTGGTCATTTTCATTATCTTGTTCCATGAAGCAATGTGAGGACTGTCTGTATTTGAAACAAGCATCATTCAGGTGTTATAGAAATATGCAAAACCTATAACTTGCTTTTTCTAATTTCTGTAAACAAATCACAGGTAAACTTGTAACCCAGAAGTTAAAAGAAAAGAAGAAACGTATTTGAAAATGTGGACAGGGCATGGAACTAGCCATTTTGTGATTCTAGAGATAATGCAATATTCGAGTCTACAACACACATGTAAAATCATCTCAGATTTGAGACTTTAAGGACCACTAAATGTGCCAAGAGAAGAGACAGCGAGGAACACCTCCACCTGTGCTTTGAGTAGTAGTGGGTGAACGTTGACAGTGAGGAACAAGCCTTTCAGATTGACTTTTCAAAATGGGCTTTGTTTCATCTAATCCCGTCATCCCCCGGGGGCAAGGCTACTGTTTTATGCTCATTTCAAGCCATTACTGCCTCTTCCTCATAAAAAGATAGGCAGAAGGAGCTCTGGGAATGCTGATCTGTGCTGCTGTGGTAAGTGTTCTGAGCCCAAAACGCTAGCTTCCTGGGCTGCTTGCATCTCCGTCTTGCCACATTGCCCTCTGAGGAAACTGGTGCCCAATTTCCTGCAGCCTGCGGTCACCAGGCATAGTAAGCAATTTGCACATCATCCACAGGGTTATTGGAAGAGCCATGTAAGAGCCTCTTCTGTAAGTAAGAATTTAGTGAGTTTCCCATCTGTTTCATTTCTGGGATCACCAAGATTCAACTAGTTATTCTCAGCATGAGAGGAGCCTCCTCTGGCTGCTGTGGAGTGCACTCTCGTCACTGGCCACACTCACCTTGCTTTTGGTTAGTCAATGCTGCCCCTTCACCCTACTTCCCGGTGGTCTAATTCCGCTCACTGCATCTATTATAGGTTTCTTAATTCAATGATTTACTTCGGGCTGTAAGGTCTTGTTCATAAAAAGGCAATTACAGGCTCTTCAACGGTATTTATTTCACCAATTTGTTCTTGGAACGAAACTTCACAATATTGAGGATCTATCTCCTGGACCTTCCCAGATTGGGTGAATAGGTCTTTAAAATGACAAATTTACCTATCTTTCCAATTTCCCCAAACTTTGACACAAGCCCCCCCGCCCCCTGCATTCAATCCAGGGCTGCCGTTGGTTTGTGTTTCATAATGTTCACCATGGGCTGCCGCAACATTTTCTGATTTCCCAGCTGCAACATTAAACTCAGAATCTCTGCCTGATGAACTCAGTGATGATAAATGTGGCCTGATGGAACTGTATATTTCAGTGTTATCCCATCCCCATCCGTGGTACCCATCAACGGTATACATCCCCTCGTATGTTCCCCAGATTACTGCTCCTATATATGTAAAAGCTCTAATAGTTCTTTTGGGGTATCATGTACCTCCTCCAGGGTCACATTTGACACCTCACCCATAGAAGAAGTCTTCCTGTCGTGGAGAGGCTGATACCACCATAGGTGGGGCATGTCTTCATTGCCAAAGAAGACTGCTGGGAGATGAGAAGCCTGGTGCCTTGTTTTATCCAATATTTTCAAATGGATTCTCGTCTTCCCACTAATTTGAGAATTAATGACGTATTATTGATACTTCTCTGCTTTGTCTCATCTCACCATTTTAATCTGGGCTCTGCTAGTCAAACAGCAAAATAGTTATTTTAAAATTTTGTACATTAAGAATGTTACTCCCATCTAACCAGACACTGGTGTTCATTTGGTTTATTTAATTTTTTATTCTTTGGAGAATATAAAAGTCAGGAGGGTAGGAAATGTGTTATCTTTGTGCTTGTCTATCCCCAGTGTCCCCAGTGGAACTGACTGGTCCATAAACGAGCACAATACATGCTTGCTGAGCAGAATAGAGAGGCTACTGTTACCTTGCAACATGCAACATTTTAGCCAGAGATGAAGGTATCTATCCATTTTCATTCACCAACACATCCTGTGTGGTTTTAGACATCTGTACCTAAGTAAATTTTTACTATTTGGGGACTTCCTTTGGGTTCCAGAGACCTGTCCAAGGCTGAGACTAGTCTTTTTTGGCTTTTTACTATTTTTTAGGCAATGTCACAGAACATTTGTGGAAATGGAGACTGAAGATGGCTACATGATTCTGAATTGCAAGAATCGTTTCAAACTCAAACAGAAATCTAAAGGTAGGTATATTTTTCCTTCTTCAGGACTCAGATTAAAGTTGCATTATTCTCTTTCAAAGATAATTATCTTTAAATACTTACAAGTTGTTAAAATTAACTATGTTCTCAGATTTTAAGAAGAGATCATACATTACCTAAGATAGGTTGTTTAGATTCAGAAACAGCCACAATAAAGAGGCAGCATTTTTACCACGATGGGTCAGAGAAATTCTACTAAGATGATATATAATCCCCCTCAATGTTGTAGCATAAGGACACGAATACAACTTTCAAGCAAAACTTTGAAAAGCATATTTTTTACAGAAATTTTTCTTCCTAAAAAATATAAGTTTCATGGAAGCAATTATTTGAGTAGAATATCAAATCTAGATGCTTATTATACTTGGACAGATTGAGTACTGATGGTAGGAGCCAGTCTTGTGATTTACAGTTTAAAAAGCATATAAATATGATTATACATATGTGCATATATATATACATATATATATTTATATATATATATAGGTATAGTAATTTTTAATCTTGGCAATAGTCTGTGGTATTGGCAGAATAGTCCACTGGACAGAAAAGAGGGAAAAAGGAAAGAAAGCACTAATTTTTGCTACACAAGGCCACTGTACCTGCACCTAGGTGCTTTGTGCTTTGTTTTTTCCAGATCTGTGTCAGTTTCTATTGACAAGTCCAATAAACCACAAGCTGGTGCCTAAATTCATTCTGTCTAAAACGATGTTTAAACATTTCTGTTCAAACAGTTAAATTGTTTCTGGAATGCCATCGACCACAAATTCACAACTGCTCAGCATCTCATGACTCTCTCAGCTTCCATCTAGCTAATTTAAGATAGTATTTTTCAAAAACATAGCAACTTTCTCATCTTCTGAAGGTGCAAGTGCAACTTTGTGGTTTCAATATCAGGAAATTAATGTTTACTTGTCACAAATAACTTACTTCCGTGTAGGAAAAACTCAGGCCACTGAAGTCAAAATGACTGAACTGGATGGAACCTAAACTCTGAGCTAAATTTATGGTCTTGGGCAAAAATCCTTTGTCCTCTTAAATCTCAGGGTTTTTTGTTGTTGTTTTTTTTTAATGATAAAGTAAATCTCTCTTTTTATATTCTTATGAATATATTTATTTTTAAATATATTCATTAAACAAATTTATTTTTGTTTATTTTAAAAACCACTTTGTAATAGACAAGCGAGTAATGATATCTAAAGTCTGAGCATAGGTATATAAAATGCAAGATAATATCCATTAAATTATGAGTGAAGGAAGGGTAGGAACATAAAGTAGGCCTGTAACTAATCAGAAATGACATTATTTAAGCATGTTTTTGCTTGTCATAATATTTTTCTAAGCATTTTTGCTGTTGTTAGGGAAACCTGATTTCTTATTCAACTTGACAGATATGATTAATCTTGCTAATCTAGAAAGGCAATGGGTTTATCACACTGTTATTTGTATTATTCATTTGAATGACTCACTGTTAGGAAGAAATGAAGTTCTGTTATATACCATACTGGGAATATCCACGTATTTTCACCTTTATGTATGGTATATGTTTTTCTTAGCTGTGACTTTTGGACAAAAAATATTTATACTTTTACATATTAATGTATAATCGCATAAGATAAACATGTATATTCTATGTAAATTAGATGTATTATTATATAGAGAAACTAATTTTTTTTTCAACTCATCAGAAGTATCACCAAATAACAAAGCAAAACAGCAAAATAATTCACCATTTTAAACAGCAGTGACATGTCTTTGTTTTGGGTCTGGAAATTTAAAATTTTTTTCAATTAACCATAAATCCTAATGTCATATCAAAAATGAACGTGGATTATTTCTATAATAAAAAGAAAATTGTTTATTAAATGAACATTTCATAAACACAGTGTTCTAATTTACCTCAAAAATCTCAATATTTCAGATTTCTCATGGTATTTACAATATTACTATCTTATGGTGATATTTGCATGTATTGGCATTCTGATTTTCATGAGCACATCTGGCTTCAGCTTTTGGAGTGAGTATGGATTTTTTAACTGCAGAAGATAAATGTTGACCTTTAATTCTTTTCATGCTAAGATCAGCTCCACAGGGCAGTCCAAAATCTGTCAAACTGATGAACCATATAAGTCATAGGATAAAATTATTTTAAATGTAAGAACATTTAGTAAACACTAAAAATAATTTATTTTGCATCTTTTCTTATGGACTTAGTAAGACCTAGTAAAAGTTTAGATTATCATACCATGTTATAAAATTTGTGATGTATTTTTTTTTTTTAAGATTTATTTGTACATACAGAACTGGGGTACAGGCCAGAGGCTCAGGGGTGGCGAGAGGTTTCACCAGAGACAGAGTGGGGAGCAGGACAGGCAGATCCACGAAGTACACTGCTGAGGGGAACAGCGGGCGGGTCAGGAGAGGTCTGCCACGCCATGTGGTCACCTCCGGGGCAGGCGGAACTCGAACTCATGCGGAAGTGGCTTTAGCTTCTCAGTGCTGCGCCGCAAGGGAGGGCCGTGATGTACTTTTTTTAAAGGGATAATCAGTTTTGTTTTTTTTAAAGATTTATGCTTTCAGAACTGGGGTACAGGCTAGAGGTGTGGTGGGTGACAGGGAGCAGCCTGCAGCAGTGTCAGGAGAGGTCTGCAGGGCCAAGTGCTTCAGCTCCCTGGCCTGGGATGGAGCTGGTGCTGCAGTGTCTTCAGAGAGCTTCATAATGAGGTGCTTTAACCAGCTGCACCACCAGAGAGAGCCCATGTGATATATTTTTACAGAAGAGTGATGTACTCTTTTGGATCACTTGGAGAGAAAATGATTTAAATGTATGAAATGTGCTAGATTTGAAAAAAACCACCTCTGGAAACCATGTTAGAATTTTATACCCTTCTCTATGCCTCCCCCACCCCCCCCAGAGGCATTTCATATGAATATTCTATAGCTGCTCTATTTCAAACAACTAGACCAATTCTTTTGTTATTCAGTTTTCTCCTATGTAAAATGTATGATTTAACTGTTGCAATATATTCTTTTAGAGCACGATGCTATTGAGAAGATATCAATAAAATTTGACATATTGATGAAATATTAGAAGGGAAAATATTTTTCCCAAGGATATTTTTTATTCTAAGAGATAAATCCTCATCAGATTTTAGGATATCCTGGGTAAAGAATTAGTCCTATCAAAAAAAAAAAAAAAAGGAGAGAGAAATTGGAATCAGATCTTTAAATGCAAATAAAAACATGCCTCTGTAGTATGTAACTTGATTTTAACAAGTTTAAAACGAGAGTAATGAAGCAACATAATTTTCTCAGATATTCTTTTGAAACAGAACAAGGCGGGGGAGGGTGCTGATTTTGAGAAAGTAAATCAGCTTCAAGAAAGTAATGAAAAGACAGTTTGGTTTATCAGCTTGTCTGCATTCTTGGGAAGCAGGGAATTCATTCTGCAGGAAAACAATATGTAAAAATGCAACCAAGAAATTGAAAGAACTTCATATGGTAAAAAAGGAGATATTTAAAATCTGAAACAAGAAGAACATTAATTTAAAGGTTCAGTGAATAAAACAGAGTAATATCCAGAATAAAACAGAATAATATCATATTTAGACTTGGGATTAGTATTAAAGGAGTATAAATAGAGTAAAATGATTAAGTGTGGGGAAGGAAAAGAGTAGAAATACACTAGAAAAGAGAGGCTTGGAGACTGAATTTGTGTTTGTAAACCTTTATTTTGTATTAGTATTTGGACTGTTATTCATCTTTAGACTAAATTTTTAAAATTTAATCTCACTTTATATTTTATTAATTTTTTCTTTGTGCTGAGCACAGATAAAAAAGCGGATTTCCCTCAGAATATAAGTGCCAACCATCTAGCAGGTAATGTTCTATTGTGTATGTAATGTGCTGCTTTGTGTTAAGATCAAGAAATTTCAGTCACTGTTCACATAAATTTGGGTAATTAAACCTCAGATTTTTAAACTTTCAAATGGGGACATAATAATTAAATCACAGGCTATTTAGGTTAGACTAAACCAACAGGCACAGCAAATGTTACATGGTGGCATGACTGAGGTATCACATCAGCCAGATTATTCAGTTGAACATGAATTCACATGTTACAGTGAAAGGACTTTTTAGAAGAGAGTAGTATTTAGAAATAGGTTGTAAAGAAGGTTGCCTTCTCTAGAGTGTATGGGTCTCATCAGTTAGTTAAAGGTGAGAAGTGCTGCGCTCCCCCAAAACAGAAAATTCAGCCTCAAACTGCATCATTAATTGTTCCTTGGGTCTGCTTCTGAGCCTTTATAACCACATGAACCAATTTCTTAAAAATTTCTCTCACTCTCTAGCTCTCTCTCTCTCTCTCTCTCACACACACACACACTAGCACAGAGGCAGTATGATTATGATGCTATGGTTAGCACACAGGCTAGAGAGCCTAACTGGGTTGGAATTTCAGCTATTTGGTATATACACTCTGAGGCGCTCATTTTCTCATCTGCTAATTGTGGGCGAGAGATGTTAAGAATCCTACTTTGGGCCATCCCTGGTGGTGCAAGTATTAAAGAGCAGCACTACGAAGCTATATGTAGATACTGCAGCACGAGTTCAATCCCCAGTCAGGGAGGTGACCCACATGGAATGGCGGACCTCACCTTTCTCTCTTCCTGCTCCCCTCAGCAGTAAATTTCAGTACATCCATCTGTTCTGCTCCCCACTCTGACTCTGGTGAAACCTCTCAGTCCCCACCCTGGCTTGTACTCCAGTTCTTGAATGAAAATAAGTAAATATTAAAAAAGGATATCCTACTTTGTAGGGTTTTATTTATTATCTTGGGTACTTATTATGAAAGTGTTAACTACAGGTAGAATTATAGAATAAATCTTCAGGTAGGGCACTGCAATCTAGCTCAGCTGCTTCAGTGAGAGTTTAATCCCAGCCCAAAGGTGACCCACATGGCACAGCAGACCTCTCCTGACCTGCCCGCTGTTCTCCTCAGCAGTGTTCTTCGTCGATCTGCCTGTTCTGCTCCCCACTCTGTCTCTGGTGAAGCCTCTCACTGCCCCTGCACCTCTGGGCTGTTCTCCTCAGCAGTGTTCTTCGTCGATCTGCCTGTTCTGCTCCCCACTCTGTCTCTGGTGAAGCCTCTCACTGCCCCTGCACCTCTGGCCCAGCTCTAATACATAAATAAATAAAACTTAAAAAAAAATAAATTTTCATGTAGCTTTTAAAACAGTATCAAAAAGCGTCAATAATCAGTATATCTGTATATAATCAATATCATTTCATTGATAGCTACATCATCAGTCACCCAAACCAGATTATATTAAAGCAATTAGCATGCCACTTAATATTTAAATAATTTAGTACATAATCCTTACAGTTAGGGACTCTTTTTGCTCAACAAAGTCACATTATCATCATAGCTCCTGTGTTAGCTTTCTCTGCTCTGTAATGACTACCTCCACCGATCAGTCTAAAACAATAATTATCATGTAAAATCAATACATACATAAAATAATAATTTCCTATGTCAGAGGATACTGGGTTGGTTAATTAGGTCTTCTGTTGGGGTGTCTCAAGATACCATCTAGATATTGACAAGATCATGTCTTTCTGGAGCTGAGGTTTGCCCCACAAACTCTAGTGGTAAGTACAATTCTGTTACTTGTGGTTGCAGGTCTGAGGTCACTGCTTTCTCGCCGAAACTAAACTCCCAAAGGGCCCTGCACTTCCTTGTCATTTGTTACTTTATACATCTCAGGAAAGATGTATAAAGCCTTCTGAGTTCCTCAAAGACAGTACAGTTGTTTCTTTCTTCAGACAAAGCCCACTGTCTTTTTCAAGGTCTTGTCCTGGATTAAGTCAGGTCTTCCTGGGATGATCTCCTTTCACTAACGCAAAATTAAATGGGCATCTTTTAAGTCAGAAATGCTGAGCTGGCAAAAAAAAAAAAAACTAACCTTCAGTCAATTACATATGATACAAGTCACACTTTTTCTATAGGCTCTAGAGTACAATTTTTTTTTTTTTGCTTTAAATCTTTCTTCAGAAAATAAATCTACATGCCCATGTGACTGGCAGTTGAACCAAGGGAAATGCTACAGGTTTCTAACTTCTTCTAAAACTTGGAACGAGAGTCAACATGATTGTATGAAGTTACAGGCTCATTTGCTGGTGATTCAGAGTTCTATGGAGCTGGTGAGGAATCCCAACGACAGTCTCAGTGTCCAAGGAAGAATTGCCAGGTGCAATTCTAAGACATGTGATGTTTTGGCTAATGACTCATGAATATTCATCAGTAATAGCAATTACTATTGCTTATAGAAAATAAATACCATTGTGGAATAATGACCATTTCATCAATACCTGCTGCACTGTATCAGTGTATCAAAATTGTTTGAATAAACAAATGAATAAAGCCAGTATTTTCTCTATAGGAGTTCATATAGATGAATTTAAAACTTGGACAACCGGGTTGGATAGGACTATATTTTATTCCATCTCAAGGCAACCAATGGATGTGGATAGATAAACATCCTTTTGTGGAGCAAACTAAGTAAGTAGTCATTTACGGTGAAATAATGTGGTGCTGCTTTAGTTACAGAAAGAGATTTTCAAATAAAGCTTCCTTGCTTATTAGTCTTTTCATCTTCCTGTTTTCTTTTAAAAATTTTCATGTACTCTTTTGAATATTTTTCTTTTTTTTCCTGTCCTTTCTCCCTTTTTATTCCTTCTTTCCCCCCTAACATTCACTAATATTGGCAAATAACTATGTGATTTAGTTACTTAGAAAGCTATTTGGCATTTTATCTTTAGGAGACTGGTAACTTCTGCCCATATCTGTAACCTAGAGAGATTGCTGGATGGACATCAGGAGATTTGTGTAAAACTCATCACAGCCTCCCCCCAAACACCAGTTGCAACAAAAGCAATATATTTTAGTGTATCCACACAGTGGAATACTACACAACGATGAGAATAACCACATTGTAGTATATCAACCAGTGGAATTATACAACAATGAGAATATCCACACTGGATATATATAGCATAAAGATAGGAGACACTAATACCACAATATGGACTCACCTCACAGAATGTGACATCAAAGAAAAATGTCATGTGCAAAAAGAGTACATATGAATATAGTCCATATGAAGTTATGCCATCCACAGGTGGAAAACTTCAGAAAAGCTAGGAAGTGATCCCATCAAATTAAAATAGTGGTTACCTATCAAAGGAGAGCAAGCTCTGCAAATAAATAATTGATAAATGGTATTCTAGAATGCACCAATGACCACTTTTTTCCCATGGAGGTAGATACCTTGATGACTCGTTATGCTCTATATTTGCTTTATTCATTTTGATTTTTATAGGTGTTTTCTATATCAGAATAAAAAAAAAGAGTTATTGATAACAAAACAAAAGTCCATTCTAAGACCTCTGCAATTCTTTACTGCTGAAAAATTACCTAAAGAATTCTAGCTGGAAGAAACCTTAAGAAGCTCAACCCTTATTTAAAGATAAATGTTCTAACGTCTGCTGTTTATCTTCTAGTTTGCTTGTAATTGGACCAATGGATAACATGAGCTGTGCCGTCATAACAGGAAAGCAGATATATTCTGAAGACTGTAACACCAAATTTAGTGCCATTTGCCAGAGAGATGCTGTCTAAACACAAAGGCAAATGTTTATTTATATCAATAAATATGCATGGGTGTTAACTGTGCTTATTTTTATTAGTATGCAAATTTATTTCTTTTTAATGCAAATTTAAATTTTCAAATATTATGTCCATTAATAATAATTCAATATGGAAAAATATAACTTATTTTTATAATATTCAATTCTTACTTCTTTCAATGTCTAAACAATAATTAAGTTCAACTTCTTTTAAACCTGCTTTATTTATTCTGTCTGTGTGTGTCTTATTCCTTGGGTTCTACCTTCTTTCAAGCATTTGATGAAGTAATACACCAAGCACATAGATATAACCTTGCTATTTTTTATGGTGGGGACTTTCCCTATATTAAATTGTTATTTTCAATTTTTATCCCAAAGAAGTCAAACTTTAATTGGTAATAAAATCTTCAGATGTTGTAAGCATGAAATGCTTATCTGAAGTAATATACAATATTGTTCTTAATGTGATTTCACAATTACCTCCCTTTTAGTCAAATTTATTAGACATAATTATATTGGGAGCTATCTTACTCCTTTAGATTTCTAACTAAAATTCCTTACAAAGACAAATTTGTCATTTTTGCTCATTCAAACCATTTATGTTTCAACTTAAATTCATAAATTTATCACTGTGGTCATTGTGTAAATTAGGTAATTATTTAACTCAAAGAAGTTACATTTAAGTCATCAGGAATATTTAACATCGTATCTATGAATTTAAAAAGAGGAGGGGAGGGACATGAATCATTCTGTTAGGTAGTTAGGACAAGGACTCACGCCTAAGGTAGACAGCTGAAGAATCAAAAGTATCTAGGAAATTTTTCAAGTGAGGATAAGGTAACACCTGGAAAGTGCCTACACTATAGCAGGGGAGAAAGCAGACACTCTCCCCAACTTGCAAGGCTGATAGAGCAACACCAGGTATGGTGGCTGAGTGGTAGATAGTGGGGAGAACCAAGAACTCCCCTCCCAATGGGATGGTAGAACAAGGACCCATAAAGCGTTTTCTTAGAATGCAATGTAAGGAGCAACCTTACACCCCACATAAGCCCCAAATCCCTTGCCATTCGGTGCAGCTGTCCTTTCGTGGACCCTCTGGGGATACCAGCCCCCACTCCCTGAGTTTACTGTGGCTAAATAAACTATCTTTTTACTTTGCCTGAACATAGCCTTGAATTCTTTCCTAGCCATAGTCAAGAATGGGGACCTCTCAATCTACACTGCTAAGCATTTAATACAATTAATTACGATCATGAACCAATCAGAAAAATAAAACATGAATCAAGTAAAACTTGAACATTCAGTCAAAATTAATATACCAGAGCCCTCCCTGGTGGCACAAAGGTTAAAGTCTCAGCATTATGAAGCTATTGCCAGACACTGTGGTCTGAGTTCATCTCTGGCCAGGGAGCTGACCCACATGGCACAGCAGACCTCTCCCGACTCACCTGTTGCTCCCCTCAACAGTGTATTTTAGTAGCTCTGCCTCACTCTGCTTCTGGTGAATCCTTTCACTCCCTCCCCACCCATACCTCTGACCCACACCCCAATTCTTGTATACATAAATAAAAATGAAATAAAATAGTACATCACACTGTAACACACAATGGCATCCAAAATGTATATATTTCAAATTTCTTGGTGACTCTGTGATATTCAGGTGTTATCTGTACAACACTGATCACATGCCGATGTAATTGGAGCTGAGGTGGATCCTCCCCATGGGCTTTTACAGCAGAGGAAAGCTTTTGTTTTGATTAGCTGAGTAAAATCAAGATGAGTGGCTCAGTTCAAATCTGCCTCTCAGCCCATCAGAAGACGTGGGTTAAAGGACAGGACATGGTGGGCGGTGGGCGGTGCGGCTCAGGGAGAGAGAGGTGTGGAGTTTCCATTGTCATGTTTCTTCGTGGGTTCCATCTTCATTTTAGGGTTCAGGAGCATGACATATTGTCTCAGGGAGCATTGGAAAGTTTTTTCCAGCCTAAGATTATTCTGGTAGCCATTTCTGGATCCACGTTGCTACAGTAGAGCAGAGCTGCTAAATGGCTGTTAGAACCCATCCCAGTCATGCTGATCAGGATCTATTGACCCATAAAACAAGCCACCAAATATGTGAAAACCTAGGAGGGAGGAGATACCAAGGAAGAGGAGAACAATGAACATACCTTGTTCTTTTATGAGACAGGCTTCAGCTTTGCAAAATAGTTTCCTAACTATAGTGTCATGGACATCAGCCAAGTAAGTTGCTTGCACTTATGTTAGTGCCAGGTAAGTACTTAATGAGTGGGGCTCACAACCATCTCTTTGTTTTCTCTATCAGAAAGGTTTATCTACAGGAAAGAAAGTCAGTTACCAATATTGGGGAAGGAAGGATTTGTTTGTATGTTTCTATGTGTTTGCCTTTACTTTGTTTTTCTTAGCATTTTCTCAGTGCCTACATGTTCTCCTGCACACACGTGGATTATGGTTATCTATGTGGGAAGTTCAACTCAAATTAATGTAATAAAGAGACCTTTGATAAAACTTTTGGGTATCTCCTAGAATTTGAGTTTTATGACATACCCAGAGATGTGTACTAAACTCATTTTAGTTCATTCTTCTTACTTAGGAAATTAAGTTTTTTCAATTATCTTTTGTTTGGTCACTTTTGATGATACTATTCCAGTTTATATTCTATAATCAAAAGTTTGTAATTTTAATATATAATTCTGATCATTCATTAGAGATTTTTTTTATAGAGTTGGGGTCCTTCCTGGTGAATTTTTCCTAGTTTTTAAGATATTACTGAAGTAAATGTATGTCCATGAGTGATTCTCTTGTAACATTTCTCTACACCCAAAACAGTATTGTTTATTTAGATGGTGAATGCATACATTTCTCTACCTGGTAAGCTGTTGAGTCTTGGCTAGTCTACCCACATAGATTTCTTCATATCTGCTTATTTTAATCCCCATGCAGACATAGTTTCTCCGGTTGTTTATCACTACTTTGGTTGATTCTATTAGTAGAAGTTTTCTAACTTGTGTTCATAATGAACAATTACATTTTGAATGGGCACAGTGCTGCTGGAATCATTCATTCATTCAACAATTATTGGTTTTCTAAGACTTGTAAAACTTTCAAACATGTAAAAATTATTACAAAATTGTATTCCATAGCATAGAAAATGAAAAGCAACATTTACCTATCTCATCATTTCATTTTCTAGAGTGTGATTATCATTTTCCTGAGGTTTATTTTTGCACTGTTAAAAATCTAGGTTTGCTGCAAACCCACTTGATATCAACAAGTCCCCTAGAGCTTTGGACTCCATCAGTATTCAGAAAAGTAAAGAATCCACTTCCATTAATTTCAAACCTGAAAAGAAACAATTAGACTCAATTTGGAAACTACTTGACAGCTACAATAAAAATCAAATCAATAATAGAAACACAATAAGCATCACAATATTTCTGGGTTATCTTCAGTCAAATTTTTTAAGTAAGGCATTTGGTACTTTGAAGCATGCTAATATAAAACCCAAGGAGACTAATCATGATATTTTTATAAATTTACTCTGTCAATGACAAAAATTTTCCTTCATTGTGTAGTTATAATTTGTCCTATCAACTGTATTTCATTATTTGTTTAATTAGTCCCCATGTTTTAAAATTGAGCACTTAATGAAATATTAAGCAGGAACCCACAGGTTAAAAAAAAAATTGTACAGTCCTTGCTTTCGGGTAAAATAGTGAGGAACAATATAAAATATAAGTGAGGAAGCAACATTCATTCAAGAGATACATAAGTAAACAGTATTGCTTATTATGGACATTTTGAGAGTTAAAGACAATTACTGATCTCTAACTTTTAAAGAAAAAAGAAACTTGATATAAATTTAAGTACTTAGATAAAGGTATTTTGACTTGGAATCTGCAGAATTAAAAAATTAGAAATAGGAATATTTCTTTGTAATAATGCAACTCAAGAGGTTTTAAATTTCTGGAAGACACCAGCATAAACATATTCAATTAAGTTTGAAACTCACAAGTCACTGAATGTGATGCCATCTGTCCATTTCCTCCTTTGAATTAGCAAAAGAGGATTTATTAACAAGAGTGAGAAATAAAAATAAAATTAGGGGCCCTACCTGGTGGCACAACAGGTAAGAATACAGCACTGCAAGCTAGCTGCAGCCGCTTCAGTGCAAGTCCAATCCCCAACCCGGTAGGTGACCCACATGGCGTGGCAGACCTCTCCTGACCTGCCGGCTGCTCCTCTCAGCAGTGTACTTCTTCAGTCGGCCTGTTCTGCTCCCCAGTCTGTCTCTGGTGAATCCTCTCACCTCCCCTGCCCCTCTGGCCTGTACCCCAGTTCTATATGCATAAATAAATCTTAAAAAAATAAAAATAAAAAATTTTGGAAAATGTGACTGTGTGCCACTTAACAAGGCAAAAGGAAGATGGATTATTTCAGAGCAGTTTTTAAATGTTAAAGGACACATTTTATGGGGTAGGGGCTAAAAAATTAGAAATAGGAATATGTCTTTGTAATAGTGCAACTCAAGAGGTTTTAAATTTCTAGAAGACACCAGCATAAACATTTTTAATCAGGTTTGAAACTCACAAGTCATTGAATGTGATGCCATCTGTCCATTTCCAGTACTCTCTGTGTTTTCTGCTCAGTCCAATCCAATACCTAACAGGTCCCGCAAACTTCTTCAAAAATTCCTTCCACAAAAATCAGGGCATCATTCACCATGTAATGTTTTAGAGCACAATGCTGAACAGATTTTACACTCCAAGCATCCCCTCTTTTATGATTTACACTCTAACTTGCCTTCTCTAATGGTTCTGTTGCATCTAACAGCACCAACAGTAATGTAGATTAACTTCATCAGAAAGATGTGTGTACTCTCTTTTATTTCTCCCACCTGTCTAAGCAGTCTAATAATTTTCACCAAGTCATTGAACACTGAGCTATACTCTCTAATTATCATTAAAGGTAACTTCTGTCTCTCAGATAGAAATTGGCAGGGAAAAGATATTTGACTTGCTTTCCTTCAGGTGCTAATGCATAAAACATTCATATGTTTTAAGTCACAGGGTGAATGACAGATGATAAACTGATGTGATGTGGTATCTGACTCAGTGACAAAATCAGAAGCTGACCAGTTTCAATAAGAATTGACACAGCATGTTCTAGAAGGGTAACAGAAAATTAGTGCTTATGTCTAGTTTGTATACAAATCCCCTTGCAAATTCACAAACCAGCTTAAGAGAAGAACCATGTCATTGCTTTGTGTGTTTGCTCATATAGTTAGAACTCTAACTTGTGGATGAACATCATTTATTATAAGATATATATGGATGAGTTCAATCTCTCATCTCCTAGCAACTTAACCACAAACCCAGTTGTCAATTTTTTTTTTACAGACAAACCTCTTGCTTACCTTATGCCCCCAGAGTCCATGTTCATTTCTCTGCCCCTGTCCCTTCCATTCAAAGCCTCACCCTCTTCAAATTGTATCTATTTCCTTTATATCTTCAACACTGAATTCCAAGAGTCCTATTTTTCGTTTCAACTTTTGGGTTTTTCATGGCAGGTATTACAAATAATAGATTTTATAGTCTCAGAACTTTAAACAGACATTTAACTGTATTGACAATATGTCTTGTGACGAAGAACAGAACATCATCATCCTAGAACATCATCTAGGAATTAACTGCCAGAGTTCAATTCCTAGACAATTTATCACTGTGGCAAAGGCTGCCTCATAGAGCATCCTCAGGGTCACACCTGTCTCATCTTCAAAAAGGGACATTTAGATATCTACTTCATATACACTGGTTGAAGATTACATTCATTTTTATAGCTGCAGTGCTGATACTGCTGACACATGGCTATTGTTTTTATTATCTATTTGCAAAAATGTGAGTTTGGAAATTACTGAGAACTCACTCCCCCCTTCTTACCAACTCCTCTTTCGTGTCAAGATGAGCAAGTTCCGATCCATGTGAGCTGCAAAAACTTTTACTGGATGTCCAGTTTCTGGTATCTTTAGAAAAGTAGAAACACTTCTCTTCTACTCCAATCCATTCCTTTGAACACACTATAGTTTTTGGACATTCTGGAGATTGTCTCCAACATATTGAAAGAGAACAAATTACTGAAAGAGAAAGCATGCATAAAATAAAAAAGAAGAACCATGTACAATGTATATAATAAAATTTTAAAAAGTAAAATAAAAATAAGTTTAAAAGTATTTCTACTCATTCTGATGAATCCATTTTAATCCTTATTTTTTGTAATGCGAAACCTTAAAATTATCAAGACTCATGTAATGGTGATATATTAGATGCCTCTATGTGTGGGAAGATAGTTTTGCTATAGAGCAGGTTATAGACTCCTGTTTTGAGAATGAAGCCTCTAGGCTTGCTTAGTCTATATGGCATCCTACCAAAAATACGCGTAACATTTAGCAATCAAGGAAGGGACACAGAGAGAGGGATATAATTCAGGACTTAAGGGTCAAATATACTGATATTGTGGTGAATGGTGGAAAATGGAGAGGCAGAATGACTTAAGTTATTAAAAGCAGCCAATTCTTTACCAAGACACTGATAAACAGACATGCCAGGGGCAAGAACACATTAAAACATGGCTGTGTGGTTAAAATGTCAGGAATTTATTATTTGGAAAAGCAGCTCATTCACTCTACTTTGTAAGTTAAATTCCTATTTATAAAAGTTTCATGGTCTTACTTCTCCAAAGAGGAAATGCAGATGGCCAACAGGCATATGAAAAAATGTTCAACATCACTCGTAATAAGGGAGATGCAAATTAAAACCACAATGAGATACCACCTCACCCCAGTGAGAATGGCACATCTTCAAACAACTAGCAACAACAAATGTTGGCGAGGATGTGGAGAAAAAGGAACTCTCCTGCATTGCTGGTGGGAATGCAAACTAGTACAACCACTATGGAAAACTGTTTGGAGGTTCCTCAAACTGCTAAACATGGAGCTTCCCTATGACCCAGCAATCCCACTCCTAGGTATCTACCCAAAAGACACAAAAACACTGATTGAAAAAGATACTCGTACCCCCATGTTTATTGCTGCTTTATTTACAATTGGAAAAACATGGAAGCAGCCCAAATGCCCAAAAGTAGATGACTGGATTAGAAAGATGTGGTACATATATACAATGGAATATTACTCAGCAACCAAAAAAGAGAAACACATGTCTTTTGCAGCAACTTGGATGGAGCTGGAAAAGATCATGCTTAGTGAGATAAGCCAGAAAGAGAAAGAAAAATACCGGATGGTTTCACTCATAGCAGGAGTATAATGGACCAGGCGAGAAAATAACAAAAATAATGAACAACCATAGACCAGAGACATTCTGTGGGGGTGGAGTGGGGAATGGGATCAAAAACAGGGGGGGGGGAAGGGAGGGAAATGCACGGGACTATGGTGGTGGCACAGGGGTGATTTGGTGATGGGAAACCCGTGGGGATTACAATTGAGATTAAAAAAAATGTGCAAAATGATGTAAAAATAAACTTTTTAATAAAAAAAAAAAAAGTCAACAAAGGATAAAAAAAAAAGTTTCATGGTCTTGTGAGAATTAACTTTGAGTAATAAAATACTGTATTTTTTTAAAGATTTATTAATTTGTGCATATAGAACTGGGGTACAGGCCAGAAGCTCAGGGGCGGCGAGAGGCTTCACCAGAGACAGAGTGGGGAGCAGAACAGGCAGATCGATGAAGTACACTGCTGAGGGGAGCAGCGGGCGGATCAGGAGAGGTCTGCCACGCCATGTGGTCACCTCCCAGGCAAGCGGGAATTGAACTCATGCAGAAGTGGCTTTAACTTCTTTGTGCTGTGCTTTAACCCGCTGCGCCACCAGGGAGGGCCAAAATATTGTATATTTAATATTAAGCTCTTTAACTCACACAAAGAACTCTAAATTTTAAAATGTATTCCTGTTGTATCTGGTGGTTATTTGAGGATTCATAATTGTCTTACTCAAAGATTAAGGACATATTCTGAGACTTGGAGTGTTTTAGGGAGCAGAAGAAACAAACTGGCTGAATCAATAGAACCCTAGGATGTACCCACAAGTCTTTACATTACTCCAGAGTGGAGGGGACCAAGCTCAATCTTAGGATATAAATATTTCAGCCTACCGGTCATAAAGAACCATAGAAATTGAAGTTAAACTACTCACCTACAGACAAAGTCAGAATGAGCGGAATGAGCATTATCTTGTTGGCTCTCAGCTCTTGAACTGCAAAATAAGTAAGTGTTTATTGCAAAATTTCTAGAGAAACCCTACTTGTATATTCACTATTTTACTCTTCTCCTATAATAATCAATTTAGAAACATTCATTAATATACCTACACCTTCAAGTACTAAAGTACACAACAGCCTCACAAGTGCAGAGAAGGCCAGTGCCAATCACCACACAGCTGCTCAGCTGGCGGAGGGCTTGAGGAGTCGCTTAGACTTGGTGGAAGGAGGGGGGGAAGCAAAGCTTTTATAAAAGGTGAAAATAGTATGAATGAGGGATTGTAATCAGAAACTATTCGTCACCAAAAGGGCTATGATCAGACAAATCAGACATATAAACCAACAACAATAAAGTGAGAAAATGTTTATAAAGTTTTATAACAAAAGAACTTAACTATAAATTGGTTTCTTTATTCTTTAAAGTTTAATGTGCTAGAGCAGAAGAGTGTCAAGATAAGAGCAGTTATTTGTGAGCAGAATGAATTAGAAAGGGGAGGGGATTTGGTTCTCCTGGAAATATTAGGTGATTAGAACCAAAGACTAATAATTCTATTAATGATTGAGATAATCTTGTCTGGTACATTATTAGCAGATCTCTATGCTTGAAAAGACCCACCCACATACACAGACTTTGAAATATCACATAAGGACTTAAAGGATGAAAAAGAAAAACTTAAAAGGTGTCATTTTCTACTTCTGTTTCCATTCAGAGCTGGAAAGCAGACCTAGTGAATGAAAACAAAAAGTGGCCATTGGGCTCTTGCAGGGGAGCTAAAATCTACCTCCACTCATCATTGGTTTTCAGTTGGGGTTCTTTTTTTTTTTATTTGTGCATACAGAACTGGGGTACAGGCTAGAGGCTCAGGGGCGGTGAGAGGCTTCACCAGAGACAGAGCGGAGAGCAGAACAGGCAGATCGACGAAGTACACGGCTGAGGGGAGCAGCGGGCGTGCCAGGAGAGGTCTGCCACGCCATGTGGTCACCTCCGGGACAGGCGGGAATCGAACTCATGTGCCAGTGGCTTCAGCTTCTCAGTGCTGTGCTTTAACCCGCTGCGCCACCAGGGAAGGCCAGTTGGGGTTCTTAATCAAAGTCAGATTAGCAAGAGAAAAGTAGTTTTCTTACTGGTGCAGTACACATCAGCTGGGAGGAACTAAAGGCAGAGGCATTCAAAATGGTGGCTCACAGCTCCAGTTTCTTTGCATCGTCAACAAAGATGGCTGCAAGCAATACTCTTATAAGGAATAACAAAAGCAAGAACAACTTTTAGGCTTGCTGCAAGGGCAATAACCCATGAGAAAGATAATATGTGGGCGGAAACTAATAGTATAAGATTTGCCTTCTGTGGGCAAGCAAGAGTTTATATTTAGAAAAGAAAAACTGAAATTCAGTCAAGCAAAATGGGCCCTCCTTGGTGGTGCAGCGGGTTAAAGCACAGCACTAAGAAGCTAAAGCCACTTCAACATGAGTTTGATCCCTGCCCAGGAGGTGACCACATGGCGCGGCAGACCTCTCCTGACCCGCCCGCTGCTCCCCTCAGCAGTGTCCTTCGTCGACCTGCCAGTTCTGCTTCCCACTCTGCCTCTGGTGAATCCTTTCACTGCCCTGCACCTCTGGCCTATACCCCAGTTCTGTAGGCATAAATAAATCTTACAAAAAAAAAAAAAAAAGGGTTTTTTTTTTTTTTTTATTTCATTTATTTATACTCACAAAACTGGAGGCACAGGTCATCAAATGCCTGGTATGTATTTACTGAATAATCATGTAGCTTTTCTTTTTAAGTTTGATTATGGAGCAGATCAATTTTCTGCTATTACATCATTCCAAAGATTAACCTAATGATGTGATTTTGCCTTTAAAAAAAAAATTGACAAGGAAATACCCAATGAGCCAGCAATCTCAGTCTTGGGAACAGAACCAAGTAATATGCATCATTATTGGACAAAGGATGAGGAAACTATCACGTTATCAGACTTATCTTTCTGGGTCTGGCTATGGTCACCTGTTATCACAAATGGAAGCAAAAGGGTCTTGGTGCAGGAAATGAGAAAAAAAAAATTTATTCAAACGTATATGGTAGAGAGAGAGAGCACGAGTAGAGATCCAGTTACAGACTGATAGTGTAAGGTGGAATTACAGCTACAGGAGCTGGAAGGTGCAAAAAAATCTGTCTGCTGAAGAGGGCTGCATGCCATCTGCAGCAGCTCCAGTGAATATGAAGTGCAAGAGCACAGAATTGAAATCCCCATTACTTTCAGAATTACTCAAATGCATACAATATCACCCCCGAGTTACCTGTTACAAGAGTTCATTAAGATTATCGGTCACCCTACTGCAAAGTGTTGTCTCTTGCTACCAGTGGCCCCTGTACAAGAGCCAGATTCATCACATGGGAGTTCTAGACATTGGCAGCTGAGAGCATGTTGGTGTGGAAATGGAGTCCCTTCAGCACATCATTCACTGACTCAGAATTCACAATATCCCATCACAACAGCCACTTTAAAAAAAAACCATCAACACAAAAAACTTGTATATTCTGTAATATTCATAGCAGTGTTCATATAGCATTGCTTACAAAAGCAAGGCCATGGAAGCAGCCTCCATGTCTCTATAGGAACTGGATTAAGAAGATGTGAAATATCTAAAATACCATATAGTCATAAAAAGGCTGAAAGGCAGCAACCACTTTCAACAAAATGGAGCAAATTTGAGAGAATTGTGTACAGAAAATTCAGAACAATGAAAACACGTGCTGGCTGGGTACATAGTAGAAAATTTAATAATGTAAAAACACTTTCAAAAGCTAGTAGGCATCAATAAATCTTCTGAGGGCTCTGAAGTTAAGAGACAGGGGAGAGTGAAAGGGACAAGAGAATACAAAGGATGATAGTGAGGAAAAAATAATAAAATTTTTGCGAAGACAAAAAATATTAAATTAATAAAAAGGAAAAAATGAATAAAGATAAGCCTGCTAGAAATTTATCTTTTACCTACATTGTTGTGTTGCCAACATTATCTTTGGAATTTCTTATTTCATAAAATAATTTCTTTTTTACCTTGCTTTTTTTTCCAGAATTAAGTTAATTTATTGAAGAGTCAAAAATGAGAGGTTATGCTGAAAACCTAGATAGTTCTGTGAAAGCTGTCTCTTGTCTTGCTCTTAACTTGTTTTGAAGTCAAAGCAACTCTAGCCTTTTAAAAACAACTTAGCAGATTTTTCTTTCCCACTCTCTTTCATTTTCCTTTTCTGTAGCATGATGCTCAAGAATGAACTACTCGTTATTGGATTAGTATATTTACCCTATTTTAATTATCATTTTATTTTCTATAATATTTATCTTTTTTTTCTCATTATACTTTGGCATTTTGTAGTTTCCAAAAGTCGACTTTCCTTTATCTAAGTGCATGAATTCATTGCTGGTTCTGCCATTATAAGGTACCACACACGGGGTGGTTTAAGCCATGGGTATTTATTGGGCCACAGTTCCGAAGCCAGGGTCTAAAGTGAAGGGACTAATGGTCTACTGGTCTAATGAGAAGCTCTGTTCCAGACCTTCCTGGCTGACCCCCGCTCACCACGCTTTCACACGACTGTCTTGTGTTTTCCTCCTCCTTTTCAAATGTAGACACTGATGTCAGAAATACTATTTTTATCAAAGCTCACAGTGCTTTGTCCTTCCATACTTTTTGAAACCCTTTGACACACCTTTTTTTCTTTCTCTTTTCATCGTCCCAGATGTAGCTTTATTGCCAAATCGTTGTCCAATCTCTGGGACATTAAAATTAATTGTTCCAAAGTTTAATTAAAAACACAATTTGCAAATATTTACTATCTTCTGAAAGGCATTCCAAGTCAAGAGTGAAAAAAAATACACATAATATATACAAATATATCAAAATAGTTTCAAATCCTATCAGATCAACACATCACCACATGACTTTTTAGAGTTTTTATAATTCTCTGTTACAGAGAAGGGAGAAGGGAAGTGGAAATCCCCATTACTTTCTGAATTACTCAAATGCGTACAATATCACCCCGGGGTTACCTGCTATAAGAAGAGTTTATTTAGATGATTGGTCACTTGTTCAGCAAACTGCTTAGCTCTGTGTCCGGGACTCAAAAGACAGTGTTGGGAGAGGGTCGGGTGCTCCGATGCTTGCTTTGGGGTCCCCCAGATATCCCTGAGTAGTTCTGGGCTCTCACCAAGTTTCCTCTGGCAACTTCAGCTTCTTCAGAATCAAAAGTCTGTACTGGAGCACACAAGTTTTTTCCACTTCCAGTGCTGAGCCTATTGGTGTCTAAATCTCCCACTGAAATTATTCCCAGTCAACATTTATATTGCTATAGAAACTTAGTCTCATTCAGTGCTGTCAAACCACCTTCTGGATTTTCCCTATTTCTCTTTCCTACAATATCAAGATGATGCTGGAGAAAATGGCAGAAGATAGTAAAAACCTAATGGGTCAACCAGACTCAAACTCAATCATTTAAAAACTTCACTCCTTTTAGCCACACAGTTAAATTGCTATTATTTTAATATAACCTGTCGTGTAGATTGAGACAGGGAAACCAACCTCAATTATGGGATGTAACAAAATCATAGTAAATAACTTTTTTTTTTTTTTTTTGGTAAAGTACTTTGGAGAAAGCTTATTGGGATAAAATACACTCACCATGAAATTGACCCCTGATACAAGCCTGTATGCAGACATAAAACTTTACATTTTATCTCAAATTTCCTTAAAAACACAAAAGTGTTTTTCCCCCATCTCATTTTAGCAGTGTTCATCTTAAAAAAAAAAAAAGATACCAGCATTTTTAGGTTGTTTAACATTTGTTTTTCTGTTTCCTTTCACTTCATTCTCACACATCCAACTCACTCACCCATCGAAACTTACTTGCTCTGTATATGCAGTTCTGCCTGCCATTACGTCGCTCTGGATTATTCATGATAAATGCAGTTACTGATCCAGATGTAGAAAGTTCTTTAATACGCCACTCAGAAGAGACACAGAGCAATGTAGTAACTAGCAAATGCAAAGTCTGAATGACAATATAGATTCACACAGTGAAAAATATGAATAAAAATGCCCATAGAAGTAGACAGACCTGTTTAAGGAGGAAATGAAAATATGAGTCATTCATAAGGGAAGAGTATGATAATATCAGGAAAATATTCTGTCCTCAAGAAAAACATATGGAATACAATGAATCAAATAAATACAGTACTTTGTGTGCCTTTCACTGGAATGATTTCACATCTCCTTTTTGCATAAAACCTAAACACAAATCATTTACTAACAACTTTATATGCACACATATTCAATCTGTGCAGTAAGTTTGAAATACATTTATTACATATGAATAAACTACCTAAACTCTGTGTTCAGCCCTCTTTTCTATAAAATTAAGAGTCTTGCCTGGTTTGTCTATACTGTCTCTCTGGTGATTTTTTTCTCCAAGGACAAAAGAGTCACTCTTTCAGATGGGGGCCTCTGACAGCCAGTTGAAGGTTTCTAACTATCTGTGCTAGAAGCATCTATCCCAGAGGGAGGGAGTTTACTCATATTTCTCACACAGGCAATATTTTCAGATAGGGCTAATTGTTCAGCGGGGCCCTCCAGACAAGATAGTCTTTTCTATATCATTTTGTGTAGATAAATCCTCTGGTGGCATCATCCACACAGAGAAGAGTCCACATTGTACACTTGCTATGACTTCATTTAAATTCAACCACGGTTGGTATAAATCTACCATTCATTGTAGGACATATTCTTCTCCACACTGTTCTTATGCAGCTCTGAGGAGCAACGATAAAACCTAGCTATTCTGGGTCATATCATTCATCATTTACTCTGGTATTATTAGTTATGATGGCTACTTGAGTTATTAGTTATCCAGAAATAATAGGGATTTACTACCAGTGGCTCATGAGTCTATTTAAAAACTGGATTTCAGACTTTAGACACTGAGTACATGATTCATGGATTCCTATAACTCCCAACTACTAAATAGTTTATTTCTGTTGCCTTAATATTTCTTACATCAGAGCCCTGAGTAACTTTTATTGCTACTGCCAGTCTATGGCAAAAATAATATTCTATAATAACATAAGCAGTTCTGATAAAAAGATAACATTTCTGGAAATAGAAATAAAGCTATTAGAATAAATTCTCAACAGACCACTTTAATAGCATACTAAATATACCTGGAAAAGAATTAACAAACATGCATGCTTAAAGAAACTAAACAAATTAAAATGAGAGAAATTAAAATATGAAAGAAAAATGGGAGTCACACAGGATGCCTCAGAGGCGTTTCATCAGTGCCGCCTGCGCAAGTTGGGGTTGTCCTACTGGCAAAGCTAAGCTTTTATTCCTGCCTTGAGGATCTGCTTATTAATATCCATGTGATCAAGTGATTGCCATCTTTTAAAATTGTTACCAAATATCACTTTGTTTAATTTCACCCATTTCCTGATTGAATCATTCTACCATCAATACATATAAGAAAGGGATGAGACTCTGGGTGAGAATTATGAATTCACTATTCTTTAGTCTGTTTTCTTCTCTAAACTTTCCCATAGTAAGAAACTATGGTTGGTTAGTATGACTCACCCATGATCTGGTCAGATGGTTACTTCCTTTTTTGTAAGACTGCTTTAAAGCTCAGCTTTTCAAAAGTGTAGCTTGAAGCTGTGTTGTATAAACCACAATAACATTTTAGGATTAAAGTTAAAACTTCGAAGAGAGATTTTGAAACATGTCCACATATCAATGGCTGACCAGGCTGCTGAAGAATAAAAATATGGTGATAACCACCGAGAAACCAATGAAGAGAAGCAAGGTAGGACATTTTCAATTGTTCTGAATGAGGTTATTCATTGAATGTCTAAAGCATCCTGTTAAACAAAAGCCTCTGAAGACATGTTTTGTTGTTTGGTGGTATGAGGGGTTTGGGGGTAAGGGCTTGTGGGAAGGATAGGATCTTCAAGGTTATATGAAGTTTTTCAGTTATATGAGACAGGAAAGCATCAAGAGGGTCTTCACACATAAGTTTCACTGATTGATTACTTCTGAAAACATGTATCTTAATGTTATTAATAATAACATTATATCCACATTAATAATCTCTTTGGTTCTAGTTCTGCTGAACAAGCTAATGCCATTTACAGCAACATGGAAGGAGCTAGAAGGTATTATGCTTCTAAAATAAGCCAGAAGGAAAAAGAAAAATATCGGCTGGTTTCACTTATAGGAGGAATAGAGGAGAAATTATCACTTGTGTAGGGAAATTATCATTCCTCAAGATGTTAGGATGCAATTATTATCAGGATTATTATACAGTACTTGCACAAATACCATTTCTCAGAATGCTTCATTCTTATCGACTTGGAGATATTTCCTCCTTTAAAATCCCTTTATGATTCATAGAATCACCCCTTGCATAAGCTAGAAATTTTTTTCTAAATGTAAACGCCAATGATTTTAAGTAATCTCAGTTTTTTTTCCCACAACAATCATTCTGGAGAAAAAGAAACTTAAGGAACCTGATTACCTGCTTAAAATTATGAATTGGAAATGTATCAAAAATAATTTCACTTAATATATTAGTAAATAACTTCACCTCTTAGTATATACAATAACTGAAATATACAAAGATATAAGCATTGCGAAAAATATAAGAAAAACCATAGACAAAGTCTTTCTTTTATTTAATTCCTGTTATCAAACCTTCAGAAAAGAGGTGATACATATCCTCTATTATATCATGTTACTTAATGAATGAATAGGTACAGGTTTTAACGGGGTGAGAAAAAAATGCCCTGAAAATATCTGATCAAGAATGTGAACCTATAAAATTTATAACAACAATACCCTCTGTGCACTATACCAGTACTAGAACAGAAAATAGAATGTCACAATGACTTATTGGCTTGAATAAAGGCATAGAAAAAGAACTATTTGTTTTCTTGAAGAAAATGAATAAGAAATTGAAGAAATTAATAAGATGACAGTTAAAAGATCATTGAAGACCTCCCAGTCCTGCCTTCATCAGACCTCAATCTCTCACCCTTTCACTCTGTTTTAAGGACAAATGCATAAAAACATTAATTGTATCTTTTTTCAAAACCCTACTAAAACCATTCAGCTCATATCAACATTTTCCTCACCCTGCATTCACACAAAGATCTTTGAGAGTCTACATGTTGATTTCACTTCCTCCTGTAATTACACAAAACCTCCTTCACCACGGCTAAGATCTCCCGTATTCCTTTGCTTTTTTCTATCTCTACACTGCTGTGTTGAAGACATCGCCAGTC